AGATGGGTAAACCCGGCCAGCGCGCGAGTCCGCCATAGCGGCCTGCTAAATGCTCCTCCTATGCCTGGACGCCATGGCGGACGACGAGCCGCGGCATCCCAAAATACATGCCGCGGGAGGCGGAGGGGGAGAGAGTGAGAGAGACGAACTCTGGGTGCATGGCGCGTCTTAGCGCAGCTGCCAAAATGTCGTTGCCCTCTAACAGACGAAGACCTTCCATTCCTCCCCCCCCTCAAGGGTTTCCTGACACCCGCCGGGTCGTGATTATCTCCCTCTTCCCCCCCAACAACCAATAACCTCACGTGATGACGAATAAACAACGGCGACGGGGCCGGCAAAACCCGCAAAAGCTTCGCCGGGTCCGGAGGGGGGGAAACTCGTCCGATGAATCGTCTCCTCCTCGCCAAAAAGTATAGATGGAGGAGGAGGAAGGAAGGAATACAGAACGGAAGAGAAAGAAAGAAGGGAAAAAATTAAAAAAAAAGTAAGATAAGATAAACATAAACATAGACATAAAAAGGAACACACACAAACAGACGAACAAGAAAAAAAGAAAAAGAAAAAAGAAAAAAAACCGCCCCCCATCCCGCTGTCTCCTCTTCCCACCTCGAAAGAAATGGAAAAAAAGTAACCTATGGGGAAGTGCTTCCTCGGGTTGGGGACGGCGTGCGGCGGCAGCTCCCCCTCCAAAACGTCCAACACAGGCGACGACAATGTCCTGCCAACTCGTGACACAACGCATGGAGTGTGTGTGTGTGTGTGTGTCCGGACATATACATGCGGCCCCTCCTCATTGAACAGACCGAAAATCAAAAATCAAAAACCAACATCACCGGGGGGGGGGGGGGGGGGCAAAAACAACAAGGAAAAAGATGTTGAAATACACCGGTAGATGTGCATATTAGAATGTACTACTGGGTACTGAAAAAAAATATAAAAAAAAAAATAAGAAGAAAAAAAAATACCCCACGTCGTCTTTGCGTCTTCGATACCTTCACCTACACACACACACACACACGTAGCTAAAGCAGTAATTAGTACAGTAATTGGTTTTTTTTTTTTTTTTTTTTTTTTTTTTTTGCCCCTTTCCCTCTCTGTTCCCGACTTTCACATGTTTTCCCACCACAACCCAGATCGCATCGTATCGCATCTCATTGCATCACCTCAACGCATCCCCCCCCCACCCCAAAATAAAATGAAAATAAAAATACACATGCCAAAGCCCATTCCCGTACAGCCCAGCAAGATCCCCAGGCCAGCCATTGCCATTCCTCCCTTCCCCCAATCCTCCCCATCCCTCAACATTCACAACCCTGACGCTGCGCGCTTGTGGACAAGGCAAGGAGGAAGAAGAACATGAGCTCCTCCGGGGGGGGGGACTCGTGATGGGGGAGGGACCGTACATATCGCAGCGTGCCCCCTGTGTGTGAGCGGTGAGCGCATGGATGCCGTCCATCCCCCCCCATCGTGTGTGTGTGTGCATCCGATCCGTGCATCCGATCCATCATCAGTCAGCAGCAGTCACCAGGGCACCGAGCAAGCGGCTCAACCCTCGGCATTGTTGCAAAGCGTGCAGCGCAGCGCGTCGCCCATCTGTTTTGCCTGCCTTGTCACCGGGCCACGAGGCACCGCCATAGGCCTAATACAGGTAGGTACATCTCAATACAGTTCAGTGCCCGCGTCACGATGGTACGTGTTTGATTGATTCAATGGCCAACTTTTATTCGTGTTTTTGCTAAAACTTCTTTTGACGATTTTGCTATTTTTTTTCCACGTTGGTGATTCTTCTTTTGCCTTCTTATTCGTCTCAACCGTCTTTGCTTTTGGTAAACCAGATATCTGCTGCGCACGCTGGACTAATGCGATGCCTCCTGCGCCATCGTTGTAATCCCAGCTTTTATGCCAGCTCCTCCTCCTCCTCTTCGGCCCTTTCTTGCGCCATCATCTCCACTTTTGCTTTCCCCCGCTTCTTTTCTTCTTCTTTTTCTGTCGTCAGCATAGCCCACCGAGGTCGCCCTCGGGCATGCATGCCTTCTGTAGCTGCTAACGTCTTTTGGCCCCGCCCGTTGAGTCCCGTCCATAGAATACAATCCATCACATTTGCCTGTTTTCCCAAAACAAGCTTCCGGCGCAACCATGTAAATGCAGAGAGACCCAGACCCATTGATAAAACATGTAGGTGGTATGTTGCCAAAACAAAACAGACCATGGTATCATGTGAAGAGACGCCGTTGCAAATGTGGAAAAAAAAAAATTAGAATCAGCTCCAACCAAGGCCCCAGCACGCCCACGTCTCGTGAAGGCCACCCCTGCCGCGTGTTCAGGTCGTGTCGCGGCATTGTCCAGTCTCGGCTATGCGCGCCCGTATTATGATATAAATGTAAAGCAGAGCTGAACGCGATGCCGCCGCGCGCAATGCATTGTGGAAGAAGAAACCAGAAATAGCTGTGCTCGAGGGGACCACATTGGCCGCGCGCTCGTCGGATATCTTTGATAAGTATGTGCTGTCGTTGGAGTAATAGTACCATGTTGAAAGTGTGTCGATGCGTCGTCTACCATCCCTTGGAGTGGTAGCCTCCGAAGTTGTCCGTGTCCTTGGAGAAGAACTGGGGGTTGTTGGCAGGAGCCGCCTCCTCCTTCTTGAGGCAGACCTTCTCGGGGTACTGCTTCAGGTTGGCCACGTCGTGGGATGTGTGCCGTCTCTTGAGAACCGCATTGGCCGTCGACGACTTTTGCTGACGCTCCCAGAGGAGGTTGCGGCGGAGAGACTCGGTCAGCTCCGTCGCAAGCATGTTGCGACGCGTGGTCCGGGGGGAGAGAGCGGCCTGGAGGTGGCTGTGGCTGGCCGTCGTGTAGATGGGCTGAGCGGCAGACCGAGGGATCTCGGTGATGGGCTTCAGGGGAGAGGAGCGCACGCCCCTCTTCATCATGAGAGGGGCATCGTCAGAGTCATTAGGGGAGACGGCCAGCGTGGGAGGAGCTGTGTGGCTCGTGCGCGACCAGGGCAATGCCGACGTGGACTGAGAAGCAATGTTGCCAAGGGCCTTGGAGTTGCTCTTGCGGTCGTTCTGCTCAATCATGAGGGTAATAAGGGAGCGGCGGGATGTCAGATTGACCTTGGAGTCGACGCGCTGGAAGAAGGTCTTCTCGTCGATGCTAGACTTGTTGCTGTCCTCAACCGAGTCTTCCCAGTCGGAAGAGTCGTCGTCGTCGTCAATTGCGCTCTCGTCGACATAGTCTGTCTCCGAGTCGTCAGCAATGGCCGAGTTGTCGTCGTCAATCGTACGCGTGGAGACACGGTCGGCAAAGGAAGCTGTCTTCTTCTGAACGTTGAGGAGGGAGCCAGGTTGAGAGGCAAGGGCGCTCTTTAGGGAGCTGTCCTCTTCCGAGGAACCGCCGACCTGGAACATCTTGCGCTTCGGCGCAGGGATGGGCCGCAGGTTCTCAATGCTCTGGCCCTGCTCACTGGAGGAGCAGGACTCGCCGATAGAAAACATTGGCTGCTTCTTCGACAGGACGGGCTTGGCTGCCGGCGAGGACCTGGGCTCCGGGATGGCAGCAGGCGACACGGCCTTGGGGGTAGCAGGGGTGGGCCTCGAGATGGGAATCTGAGAGGGAGAGAAGCCGCGGACGACGGTGGTGGAGGAGGTGATCTCGGGAGAGACGGGTTCCTGAGAGTGCTCCTCTTCTGATGACTTGCATGGGGACTCGGTGGTGGTAGATCCGGAATGTTCGTAGGCGGGGGAGGCAGGGGCCAGGTCGGGCGTCTCCTTCTGCGGAGGGATGTAGGGCGAGGAGATCTGAGGGAGAGGGGCGGACAAGGGCTCGTTCTCCTTGATGATAGAGACGACCATCTTTTCAAAGTCGCCCGAAGTAATGTGGCGCTCCTTGCCTCGGCTGCGGTTGCTAGCGCACGAGTCTTGCCTCTGGATCCGGGGGCGAATCTCGAGAGGGGCAGAGAGTGAGGTGAAGTCGACGGCCTCGTCGTCGTTTTCCGAGTCGACACTGCCGGAGAGTTGAGGAATGTCTTGTAATCTGGTAGCGCCGGGGATTTCTCTGGGCAGGCTTGTGGCAGTGATGGAGGCTTGCTCATCCTCTGTGCAGCAGAAGGTCTCACGGTTCCACAGACGCCAACTAAGGTTCTCTAACCTGCGGCCCTGTTCGACAGACTCTGCACACTTTGCGAAGACTAGACGTAGACGGGTCGGGTCAGCGGATGCGTCTGGGACGGCCCCAGAGGACCGACCGGGTTGTGATTCAAAGTGCTTACCGGTCCACATGCTATAAAGGTTTTGAGGGTTTGATGTGTCGACCTTGTTGATGACATTGGTGTCGACGGTCAGGACGTGGGTGTCGAGAGGATAAGGCATGATGCCGAAGTGGACTGCTCGGATTGAGCAGCTAATGGTCGAGTATCCAGGATATGCGATGGCAGTTGAGATTGAAAATCACCCAACGCAAGGGTGTGTCAAAGGGGGGTTAGGTAGGTAGGGCGAATATCGGCACCTAAGGCGAAACGGGGAGCGAGTTGTCGAGATCAACAATGGGGACGCAAGTGGTTGTGCGGGCGAGGGTCGATGATATCGACAGTGCAAAGAGCGATGGGCGCTATAGAGGTCGGATTCGTAGCCAGGGAACAAGATTGATGATACTGGCGTCGTGGCAGAGGGCGATGGCAGGAATGCTTTGATACGGCAGGGTGGACAAGATGGGAAGGCGGAGAATGGTTGTAGATGCGCCGAGAGGATAAGGCCGGGTCGATGGAGGTGTTGCTGGTGGAGCAATGAAGTAAGAGGAGAGGGAAGGGTGGAAATTCTGGGGGAGGACGGTTGTTAATAATTATCGTCAACTCTTGCTGGTACGGGAGAGAGTTGGAGGATGTGGATTAGATGGCAGCGGAGTGGGATGCATGTGAGTAGATGTAATGTGCAATGGGTATTGGGAAGAGATGGGGATGGGTGATGGGTGGATTGGGAGGGGGGGAGGGGGTGTTGGGAAAGGGGGGCGTGAAGTACTGAGGGGGGTGTGAGAGACTGGGGGCGGCGGGGGGTGAACGTTACAAGAAAAGGGAAAGAGAGACATGGGGTGAATCGCGGTGAGAGGAAATACTACAGGTAAGTATGTACACGTACAATTTACTAGGTAGGTAGCAGTATGGCATGGGGGGGGAAAGGACATGGGCCAAAAAAGAATGAGAAGACAAGAGGGAGGGGAGGGAGGAAGGAAGGAAGGAGGGAGCAGGGACCCCCGGAGAAGGAAGGGGCCAGCACCTGAGAGAAGGAGAAGAAGAAGACGAGGAGGAAGGAGAGAGGGAGGGAGGTGTGGGAAGTGACTGCGGTGGGGGGAGAGGTAGGTACTCTACTGTACGTGTGGGTTGTTGGTGTGGAGCGTCTGACCGGGGTTGAGAGCGGGTACGTACCTCTCGCGATTTTTGGACCTTGGGACCTCAGGCCTTCTTTTTCTGGGTCGTGACGGGGTGTTGGAGGCAAGGTACGGTACACAGGTATCGAGTGTAAGTACCATCGGGTGGGCTGAAGGCTTTTCTTTTCTTTATTTTTTCTTTTGTTCTGAACGACCGACCTCCCAGGAAGAGAGAGCAGAACGGTAGAGCTGCGACGGACATCGTTGTCGGTCATGGAGGAAGCAACGACGACGAGGAGTAGGAGGAGGAAGAAGAGCAGCCATTGTCCAGCACCCGTCTGTCTGTCTGTCTGCGCGTCTGACTGACCGAGTGACGACTGACTGACTGTGTATCTGTTACGGCGTTTGCTTGTGACGCTGTCTCGCCGCTGTTGTCTGCACTGCACGTAACTGTCCGGTTGGGTCTGGATGGGCAGCGGATGGACGTGGCCGTGTGGTTATGGCTCAGGTTCAGTCAGGTTCGCTCATGACAGAGAGTGGGCGTGGACCTGCAAATACAACTTACAGACACGATGCCAGGGGTTCTGGTGTCTCTGGCGACGGTACCGCAGTACGTACTCAGCCGTACCGGCTCAAGAACCAGAGACGGCGACGGCGAGTCGGCTCGCGCTGGGACGGTCAGGTACCTCTGTACGGAGCCGCGGCTGCAAGGGTACAAAGGCCGACGCGGTCTAGAAACCGCAGAGCCCTGACAGAATACCACCGTACATCGTAGGTACGGAGGTACATACCGGCCGTACTCCCACGCTCGGGGAAGGTCGGTACTCTGCCTTGGAGAGGCAAGGCGTGGTGGCACCCCCGGAAGTTGGAACAGGACAGGAACGCGAGCGAGGCCCAGTGTCTCTCTCTCTCTCTCTCTCTCTCTCTGTCGCGTCAGGCTCGTCTCCTTCTCTTTACCCCTCCCCCCCCCCTCCCCTTGCGGGTGATGAGCGTCATTTGACTGAGGCTTGCTTTGCTCTGCTCTGTTGTCTTCTGCTCAGCTTTGCTTTGCTCTGCTGTGTTCTGCATTGCTCCAGGTGCCGAGGCGGGAATCGCATGTGCGCCTCTTCCAACTCCACTCTACGACGAGCCAGTCCTAAAAGGGATATAAGGGGAGATCAAGGCAAAAAGCAACAGCGCTGGACCCCATGTGGCAGGCAAACCCAACGCCCTTTTCTGCCGTGCGGGTGACCAGAAAATACTTCCCGTTATGGCTTAACGTCAGGATTAACGTGCTAATCCTCTTCGGGAAGTCTCCTTTACCCTGTCCAAGCCGATGAGCCTCGACGGTCAGTTGTCCGTCTTCTCTCTCCTCTGATCTCCGTTTGTCCTCCACGCTCCCAGGAACCAAACCCCGAGGTACGTACCTCCTTGTCGGGTACGTACCTTCTTCTCCACGTTGACTCCGCGCTTGCACCTGCCCACGGGATCTTTCGGGTCATGTGACGTCTAGCTTTTCGCTGTCTTCGTCGACCCCGGAACAATCCGCATTTCCGTCTCCAACTGATTATTTGCCGTCCGTTCGCAGGTCACGATGGTCGTGATGCCTGTTGACCACTCCCTGGCATCTCTTCTTCCAGGTCCCTTGGGCCTCGGACGAGGGGCTAAACGGACTCGACTCAGGCAATTGCCTCGTTTAATACGGGGTTCTGTCGCCAGCTTCCCAGTGGCTCAGTCGTCTGGCCGAATATGCGCCGCGCCTCGTCGCCACGTTTTTCCACCGCAGAAAAAAAAAAGTCTCCATTGGCCTCGTCTCGACCACCTCGACCCCCTCCACCCTCCACCTCCCGTCTTCCGTCGCGCTTTTCCCGTCAACCGTCATTCGGTGCCTGACCGAGTATCCAGATACTACCCAAAAGAGACAAGCGTTCTCCCTGATACCCGAAAAGGTCTGGCGCCATCTTGGATCGACCGTCCTGCCGGCACTGTTCCCCTTCTGGCGCGACGGCCTACACTAGAGCGAATGCAGCTTTTCTGGCCACAACTCGCTGTTCTCTGCATTGCAGCGGTTTCCATCTGGTCACGAGCTGCCGTACCTCTCTTCCTGCCGAAACGGATCGCCGTCTGTGTCGAACCCTCGACGGCCAACGCCCAAAGACGCCTGTCCCTGCCAGTCCCCCCCCCCGGCCCAGCTGCTCACCTGCCCAGCGCCCCCTTCGCTGCTCTTTTCCGAACCTGGGGAACAAGTCAGAACGGCCATGCGCTGACGCCTCTAGGACGGACTGCCAACTGGCCCTGGTTTATCTTGTGACTTTGGACCAGCCCAACCCGACCCGGCTTTACTCTTCGCCTGACCCGACCGTCGGGACGACCGCTAATCGCCTCCCCCGGAAACCCCTTCAGTTCTTTACCAACCAACGGTGGGGGGAGGGCCAAACGTACCTATGTCTGTTCCGACCTTTATCCCCCACTCCCCAAATATTCGCTGAAAGTCCGGGTCACGAGGCGCAAACGTCGCTGCAAATACAGTGCTCGTTAAATTGCATTACCATGGCATTGCCGCCGGGAGAGACCTGTTACGGACCCCTTTTCCGAACCTTTTCCAACCCCTCGTTGCCACAGGCTCCGAATGAAACCCGCGCGTCTCAACAGATGATAGGATTGGCATAGGAACACCATCAAAGGAGGCAGCAGTCCGCGACGCGCAAAAGTCCGTGTCCACGAGACCGTCGTCCAAGGCGGTTTTGCATGGCCCTAGATAGTACCGCCTTCTCTCTGAGCAATTGGTACCGCCATGCCTTGGGCCTGGGCCTGCGATGGCGACGAGGTCAATTCATCGCCCCAAATTTAGGTACCGTCGAATCGGCGACGGCCCGTCCTTCAGCGCTGACACGGCGATGTGACATGCTCTGACCCCCCCGTTTGCTTGCGACCTGCCGCTTGACTGGTTGCGGCGCGCGCCTCTGTGCTCGCCCCAGATCCCGCCACCCCCGTGATGATGGATGTTGTCCATCACTCGGGTCATCAAATCAATCCTACCGCTTGTCGCCTGTTGCCTGCCGCCCGCCTGCGAGTCAACACTTACAGCCCCGTTTGAGAAGCGCGTCGGTCACGGCAAGGGGTGCGATAAGAACACGGCTGTCGATGCTGATCGCAACGAGGCTTCATGTACTTTGCTCATGGGGGGCTCATGTCGGGCAGCACATCAACCAAGCAGTGACCTGCAATGGGGCTTCGAGATTGGACTGCACATCACCTCGCCGCCCTCCCGCGGTCAACAAAACAGGCCGTCATGAGATGCATTGCAGCATTCGCCAACCGCCAAGCAGGGGGCGCAACAGGGCAGGCAGACAGGCACACACAGGTTTGGCGGGTGTCCCCTATCACCTCTGTCCATTCCGAACGGGTGCGTTGTCAAGCATGTTCACGAGAGACATTCCCAATGCCAACTCAGAGGTCAACAACGGAAGAAAGCCACGACGTATGCGGTTGAGGTCAGAAGGTAGCGTTGAGACTGACCAGATCTGACCGCACAACCGCCAACATACGGACATTCGGTCTCCTTCAGGCTGTGGTTCCTGAACCAGGTGAGACATTCGTTCCCCAACCCACAAGCCTCCCTCCTCGGCCGACATGGGCAGCCTGGCTGGTGGTCACCAGGTCCCCAAAAAGTGCCCTGTGGGAGGAGCCATTAGGCGAAGTTGCAGTTGGACCCTCGAGACGTCACATTTTCTTCCAATAATAACAGTTCCTGGATTGGGCGCTCGTCGCCTCGTAACGATGCTTCTTCACCCACGCCCTGGAAAAAACCCCCCCATGCCAACCTTTTAGGCTCGCCTTACTGTACCTCTCGAGTATCCGTAGGCCGGCCAGTGTCCCGCATCCCGCAATGACCGCCGCTTCGTTTGACAGCTCACTTTTGCGCTCAACCAAAAAGCAACGTTCTGTCGTCTAGTTGGGCTATTCTGACCACAGTCTGGTCAAGTGACGGGTGGCCTCCTGGGCCAAGCCAAGCCCACGCCGGCGCCCTACGCCTCGTTGCCGTGAGCAAACACTGTAAGTCGGTCAGAGGCCGAACCCGCGGCCGCGCATGTATTCGTGCCGAACCCGCGCCACGCCCGTTATCACGATGAGCCTTCTGCGCGGGATGTGAGAGCCCCCGCCGCCCGTGGCTGTTGGTTCCCTCCTATCATGTATCACCTTGGGGCATACGAATACCATGGGCGGCGGGAGGATGGGCTTCCGGGTTCACATTCTAGGATTCGGCGCCCAAAGATGACCCGGGACAGTGACACGGTTGTTTGTCGTCGTCGTCGTCGTCGTCGTCGTCGTCGTCGTCGTCGCGGGACGAGTTGGTCCCTCGTCAAGAACGGAGCGTCTGCGTAAGATGAGCACGTCAGGAGTTGTCCGTCGTTCGCTTCGCAGAGCCCACCGCCGGGGGACCACGCTATGAGTTCCGCGAGCGTCCAACAGTCCCGAGACGGTGGTAACCACATTTAATGTGGGGCCCAAGGGAGATGGATGGGCAGGCTTTCCACCTTACTCCCTTTCCTGCTCCGAGTTCCCCGACGGCCGGGCCAAAGGAGACAAGATGAGGCCCGAGGGTTCTAGGATCGAAGCCATAGACACACGTAGGGGCGATGAACCATCGCGCAACGAGAGACGGGCCAAGAAGTATAGTCCAGGGCTTACACCCCATGCGATGCGGGTGACGGTTGGAACCCAGGGGCAGTGGTGCAAACAATCACTTGACGCTCTTTTTTCCAAACGCCCGGATACCGGTGTGCATGGATCGTGAGATTGGAGACCAGGGTGAGCAGAGTTTTGTGCTGGGCAACTGGTAGGGGGTATTTGATCGCCAAAGGTCATTCGAGTGACCCGACGGCCACCGGGGAGCATGCTAACGAGAACCGACATGCAGTTCCAACGACCCGGTTTGACGGCCGTGTGGAGAGTGGGAGTGCGGATATTAGGTGTTGTTGGTTCTCGTGAGAAGTGGTGATGGCTAACCAACGGCGTCATGGGCAAAGGGCAACACGCCATTCTTCTGAAAGCAGCAGGGGACGGAGGACATGAAGCAAAAGGGCGAAGGGGGGGGCGGAGAGCAGCCCTCCCCGGTTCTGGAAGAGGGCAACTGGTGCATCGCAATCAAATCACGTCCCTGCACCTGGTCACCGGTCGAGGGATTGGGAAGGCGGATTAGAGATTGGAGGTCTTTCTTTATTTTATTTTTGTTTTTTCCCCCTTCCAAGAACCTGGGACGGGCAAAGCTCCGCCATCACGATCCACCGGCAAAAAGAGAGAACGGCGCGGCGGCAGGTCTTCTCGGCCTGGTTCGCGGCGCTATTTTTTCCTGCTTACAAGTCATAACCCAAGTCCGCCAAGGGTGAGGAGAATGCTTGGAAGGGGGGAGGGAGGGGGGATGGCGTTGTCCAACACGCCCAGACTCTTGCAACAGCTCCCCAGCAAAGGTTCCCAGGGGAGCGGATGGCAACCGCGTGCCCCATGGTGAGACGAAAAGAATGGCCGGGTCCCCGGTTCGGGTCGGCGGCGGCGGGCTGGGAGTGCGGTGCCAAAGGCATTAAAGTTTGCTACCAGTGTCACCGAACCCCGCCCGTAAGAAGAAGAGCAGCGATATTAAGGAATTTGACCGCTTGGCATGTGGATGCGGCGAGACCACAAGGAGGCGACGGGACGACCGGTGTAGACCGGTGTACTCTCCCGCTGGCCGTATGTATGCGATATCGGGGATGACTCTGCTAGCCAGAACGGATAGGAGTCGTCTTTGGGGAGGGAGCTTGTCCGGGAGGTCCGTCAGCGGACGGAGCAGACTCCGGTGAGATGCGCAAAACTCGAGCCAAGCGGAAGAAGAGCAGAGGACGGGACGACAGAACCTCGAGCGGCCAGACATTTTTCTTCTTCTTTTTTTGGTTATGTGTTTTGCTCGTACATGATAAGACGTCAACGCCCCCCAGGCAGGCTTCGGGCCATGGCAGTGGTTGTGACTTGAGGATTGGGGAGGTGGGGGCAGTCAACGCAGTACTCTTCGCGCGCAAACCCGCGGGAATCCCATCCAATGTGACGGTGAAAGTTTTGACCCAGGTCGTCTTGTCTTTGTCTTTTGTCTAGGACGCAGACGCCGCCCGCCTGGGAAAAAGAAAGGAAAAGAAGAAAAAAGACTATGTTGCTTTTCCCCCCTCCCCCAGACATCACGAGGCTCGATCCCAACCCCCGAGAGAAAGAGATCTAAGTCATAGTATCCTTTTTTTTTTCCCCTCTCCCGGAGAAACGAGAGATGAGAACTGAAGGAAGAGAAAGAAAGAAAGAAAAAGAGAGAAGAAAAGAAAAGAATAGAAAAGCAACAACCGGCGCCGAACCTACTCGGCCCCTCCCCAGTTTCATCAGGTCATGAGGTCCCTCTCGGAATAGGCCTGGCGTAGGGGGACGGGCCGCCAAAAGGAAAGCAAAGACGTTGCAAAGAATAAACAAGACAAAAAAAAACCAAGAAGAATAAAAGGGAGGGTCAGGTGCACAAACTACAAAAGAAGGGGGAAAACGACAAGTCGAGTTAATCGGAGTTGGGGGGTTAGCAAACAGGAAGCAAAATTCAAGCCAAGGATGGACAGACAGATAGACAGACGTACACAGCCAGACCGACCTGACAGTGACAAAAAACAAGTGGTGTGTTTTTTGCTTTCCCCGCGCTGTTGCGATACTCCGTACATAGCTACATACTACGGTGAACCCCCACGCCGAGCCGACCTTTTTTTCGGGGCTGGGAGAGAGAGGGGGGGACGGGGGGGGGGGGGTGTCACGATGTGTTTGGACAGGACGGCGGGTTTGGTAGCGGCAGCAGCAATAACGACGGCAACGCCGCACGCCAAGTCTCCTTTTTTTGGGTTGGGAAGGGGATCCTCCTTGGAGGGGGAGGAGGAGGGGGACTATTCCCATGTCTTGGAATATTATAACCGTACTGGGAAGCTGAGGAGACTCTGATTTTCCTATCCTACGACTCCTCCACGAAACAACCGACCCCTGTCGTGCTGCAAACATACATACCGTACTGAGCTGGCAGGCGTTTTGTGGTTGCAGGCCGCGGCTGTCCGCCTGTAAGCTGCCGGGTCGCATGGAGGGTTTTCGACTTTCAAGGGCCGGGTTTGCCCTATCGCAGGGTGGGAGATTAGCGTGTGTGTGTGTGATGAGTTGGCGTTCCATGCTGTCTTCGAGAAGGAAAAACCCAGGGGGGGAACTCTTGCTGCGGCCATCCATCCATCCCAATCCCCATTCGTGGGGGTAGTTTTTGTCGGTGAGTAGGTAGTTGAAGGGGGATGCCCGGAGATGTGAAGTATGTAGGCAAGTGGCATGTCACCACACCACACACACACACGCACACACACACATCAGCGTAGGGGTTCATCGGTGTCATCTAGCGGACGTGGGGCGGCCATTGGCCTCTTCTCCGCAGGTGTGCGAGGTACGGTGTATTAGGCAGACAAGCAAGCGTCCGACGGCGTTTGAATGTCACCCTCTCGGCGGTGGTGGTATTGGTATCCGTATTGGTATTGGTATTGGAGAAGCCGACGGCGCGGCGGCGGGGGGACCATCAAGCCCGGCTCTTCCGATTAGTCTGGGAAGGGTCTCGTATACCGAGGGCGAGTGGTCGGAAAGCAGGTCGAGCACACGTGCGCCTTACGGGCAATGCGAGTTGTCGCGGTTCTACCAATATCATATCGTCGGTTGGTGTTCTTCGTCGTCTCCTGGTTCCTTGTTTGCTTCATCCTTTCTTTGAAAATCACATTGTTAATAATAACAATAATCTTCTTATTTGCAATTTTGTAACCCAGTCCTGGAGATGGCTTGCCGTCCCTAGGGGAAGGTTTCTGATACTCCTTTGATTGTGTTTTGGATCATGCGGGTGCCGTAGTATTACAGCGGCGCATTGCTTTGGAGTGACAACCCCCCCCCCCCCCCCCCCCCCCGAGTTGGACCAGCAGCAACGATAGCTCTTCTGACTTGGCCCCAGGACGGGCGGGTTGGTAGATCACTTGACTTGGCAGACCGTTCCCATCTGGGTACTTGGACCGTCACGGAGCAAAGACGGGGGTATCGTTCCTATCACAATTCAAAGGGAGCCACAAACGGATTATTTGATGAGTGAACATGGCGGCCAAGAGCCAAGGCAGAAGGAACGGGGGAGAGAGAGAGAGAGAGAGAGAGAGAGAAAACCTCCAGGTTTCGCAAGGAGTGCGTCCGTTGCATGCAGAGACGTTTGCGCAGATAGTATGCCGTACCCCCGATCGCGTCGCCTGCCTTGCGCAATCGCGATCTGGATGACTGGAGAGCAAAGTGGTCTTTTTTTTCCTTTCTCATTCCTTGTCTTTCCTAGTAATAGATGCTGCTGCTGCTGCTGCTGCAAACAAACCGCCCAGGGGTGCGGAATTAGGTAGTAGTAAGTATCCGCATGTATGCCATATCGGGAAGTGCTGTGTGTTTCGGGAATGCTCAGCTGACCTGCCAGACCAAGAGGCACTGGCCAGCGAGCTGCGAGGCGCGCAGATCCCGGAGCGGCGGGTTGGCGTCCCCGGGGAATGGACAGGGGATGGGGAGTCATGGATTGGTGGAATGTTATTTATTGGGGGTTTGGACGGTTTGCGGTTGTTGTTGTTGTTGTTGTTGTTGTTGTTATGTCCTTCCCCCCCCCCCCCTTCTCCTCCCCCTTGGAGCTGGAGTCTTTGGGAGGGCTTGGATGTGGGGGAAGAACTGGGGAGGCATGTTGGGGAAACGAACCGAGGGGACCATTTTGGGAGGGCATTGATGCCAATCTGGCCCTTGGCTGCAGCCCGCAGTACGCAGTACGGACGTTATGCGTGTGACGGGCTGAAGAGGAACCAGGGGGGGAGTGCATCACGAGCCTTGTTGTTTGAAGCTTTGTTTCCAGGGTCGGTTCAAGACAAAGGCTCAGCGCGTGGGAGAGGGTGGGAGGGTACGAGTTGGGGAATAGGTTGGAAAGCAACAAAAAAGTATATACGTCGTATTCAGTGGTTGGTGTACATGACACACACACACACACACACATTCTGACTAGTATAGAGGAACCTGTAACATTGGTCCAGTGCTTGACGGTAACCTCCTCGGAACCAGGCCGGGCTTATAGACAGCAGCAAGCCACGAGATTGGGGAGGTGTATTGGCTTGGGGTTCGAGATGATGGCGGCGGTGGTGGTGGTTGATTTGCGCCGGTGACGTCGTCTGGCAGCATTGAGAGGGCGGGCGAGCGCTCGGGGACTGGTTCCGGTCGTGTCTTGTTTGCTTTTTTTCTTCTTCTTCTACTTCCTCCTCCTCCTCCAACCACTACCACCATACACGTGTATCAGACAGGACCTACGCAACTCTTGATGTATGTAGTGTACGTTGTGCGAGCCAAGACATGGGGGGAAGGGGTGATGCTGATCCGCGGCTGTTCCAGGTTTGCCCACCGGCATGTTTGGCCACAGTTGAGCTTTTATTTAATTATTCATTTATCCTAACAATCTCTCGATCCTGTCATGTCGGTCGTCTAGCCGAAAGGGGGGCGTCGCGTTTGATCGCTGGCAAAGTAGAGATCCTGATGCCGGCGATGCAGAGAGATTAGGCGCTTGCACGGCCCGCGGCTTGGGTGAAGCGACGCCCTACGGACGTAATGCGTGACGGGGGAAGAAAAAAAAGTCCTAAAGGAGGGCGGCGGCCGCTACGGATGAATCTTCTCCCCTCGAGACGGGACGCATCCGCCCCGGGGGGGAGAAGGGGAATACAACAACGTGCTGCTCACCCGCCCGTCTGGGAGCGGTGAAGGGCGCATGTCGGGATGGGAAACGTCTATTTTGGCTACCTATCCCGTTTATTTTCTTCCATGCAGACTGCAGGTTCCCGTCGCCATGTAGGCTAGGGGGGTTTGAGGGCGGGCGGAAGGGGGGGGATGAGGAGCGCCGGGGCGGATAGACCGAAGCCGGCGCGGCAGCATTTCGTTTTGCAGTAAATCACCCGCGAGATGGATGCATTTCTCTCCCCCTTTCCAGCCGGCGAAGGGGGGAAAGGCGATCGTGGTGTGGGGGGGGGGGGGGGGGAGGGGGGGCACGGCACGTCTTGGTCTCGTCCGGATGCTCGCCGCGGCAGAAAGGGGGGGCGGCGGGATGTATAGATTGAGGTTCTCTCTACGCTACCGTCTGATCTTTTGCGATGACGGGAATGATGGGCTTCTCTCCCCCCCCCCTTATCTTTTTCCCTTGAACTCTCTCTTTCTCTCTCTGCGCTTGCTCAGATCTGTCCCTTCCTCGGTTCCTGCGACGGTGCAGTATCACCGTCAGGTTTATCGTGGCTGGATCAGGGCGCGCCTGCGACAGGGCAGAGTGATATGTCATCGTGTATAAGATGCATGTCACCGGACCAAGCCCGGTGTCTTGGACCTTGCGGGCGCCCGGGGCCTCGGAGGAACGAGGAGGAGGAGGAGGGGGAAGAAGAAGAAGAATAAGAACAAGAAGAAGAAAAAGAAGAGATATACCGACACTGGCCGAGACGTCGGCCAGCCGTTTGTTTTGCCCTGCGTGCAGGGCGCGCTGAGAACCAGCCGCAACGGTCGGGCCGAGATGTCATTGCTGCTGCCTTACCCCAGAGCAGTCGGCAATCCCTGAAGGTGGTCTTGTCTTGTGCAACAACGACGACCTGATCGCGATGCGGGCGGCGCGGGGTGAAGCAGCATCGACGATTGGCTCAAACGCTTTTGCGAGCCGTCTAGCGTAGGCCCTCTTTTAGGTATTCTTTCTTATTCTTGCTTATTCACTGCCCTGTGTCTCGCGTCTCGCATGCTCACGGGACGGGGAGGGAGGGGGGACACGGTTCTGAATCCGAACGAGCCTTTTTGTCGGCTTCAACTGTCACAAGATCTGCTGCCGTCACCCCTCTCCGGGTTCTCGCGCCGCGCCACACACAAAGCGAACCCCTCTGCCTGCAAGAAAGCGCCGGTGCCCGTGGACGCAAACATCGCGTTGGGCGCAGATGTGGCCCACGCCGCACCAAGCCACTAAAGCTTCCGACGGCCGAGTTGTCGAGGTTGCTCCGGAGGCGGAAAGGCTTACAGAGCCGCTCAGGGCCGCTCGACGAGGAGCCATGTACCGGTACCCGCGCTGTCTGGAGAGGGGGGGGGGGGGGGGGGGGTCCGTCCGTCCGTGGTTCGCGGCGAGCAAAGGCACAGTAAGGGACCGGCGGGAACGGGTTTGTTTCCAAACACCGTTGGGAAGTGTTCATTTTTTTTATTTCTTTTTTTTGCGGGAAAGACACGGCTCGTCGGTCTGAATCATGTCTTGTCACTCGATGACGTCGCTGGACGACGAAGGATTCCATCACCCATCATCTCGAAAGGGGAAAGGGGTGTAGCGATTGGTGAGCCACTGTATCGGCTCCCTGCAAGTCATCATGGCGTTCGTGATGGCAACTGGATACCAGAGCTGATTCCGAAGTCTTCATGGCCGGCGTTGTTTGGCTGCAACGGCAACGAATGGCCTAGTCTAGGACTCGAGGCCGGAGCGTGGTCGACCAATCGTTCCCAGGAGGTGGTGCCGGAAGCCCAGGGTCGCCTTTCCGCTGCTCGCATGGAGCTGACTAGTCTGGCCTCTCGAGGCTAGCGAAGTACGGTAATCATAACATCCACCCCTCCCCTCACGCCCTTGGAAATAATGGTATAGAATATTTGTTATTATTTCTTGGTGTATCGACGTAGTGAGTATGTACTTTGAGCTCGTAGACTACCGGTATGTTGATAATGCGTAGAAGCGTCAGTAGTGCGTCACAACTTTTGCCTCTACGTTAGACTTTGAACAAGTGCCACGGCGTTAGAGTATCGCTAGCGGGGACGTCGATCCTCGAGAAATGGATCTTCATGCGGCCACGGCTCCGAGTGGTCGATCTGCATCACTCTCCCCAGCTGGGCTGGAGCTGTGGTTGTTCCAATCCCCCCCCTACCAAGGTACCTACCTACTTATGTGAGGAGAAAGCTTGAGGCGCGGCTTTGTGTATCGCGAAAATCGGGCTTGGGAGGCACAGCCGGAATCGGGATTTCAGATGCCTCGCAGATGCCACGGGCGGCGGCATACGTCAATCGGGTTATCATGGGACGGGACCTCTCACAGGAATTCGGTTGCCAGTCAGCCGGAAAACGGTGGCGAGGAGAATCAATAGTCGTGTTGACGTGCGCCACCCGTGCTTCTATTCTGATTAATTATCATTATTATTGTTATTACTATTGATTATTGTTGTCATCTACTCGCATTCTTTCCCGCCACGACGCCCGCGCTGCAAGCCATTCGGCACTGAGAGGCTACAGAATAAGCATGAACACATATCTCACAAAGTGACTCAGCTCAGGACGCCCCTCCCCCCCCCCCCCCCCTACGAGGGAGGGGCGTGTGAGATGAGGATATGAGACGAACCGAAACTGGCACGGGAATAGTGAATCATCGACATTCCTTTTTTCCTCCCCCCCTTCCCAGCCCAAGAAAGCAGCCGCCGCAACCTATACATTCTCGGTCACTCAGCCGGACCTCCTCCGGGATGCTTCCCCGGACGGGAAGGACTGCCAGGGCGTGGCAAGCCTGACGAGCGGCACACACACACACACACACACACAATCTCTCTCTCTCTCTCTCTCTCTCTCTCTCTCTCTCTCTCATATACACACGCATTTGCATGTGCTCTGAGACACACACCCTTTTCCATCCAATCCGGAAGAGAGCTTCGCCAGGGTTCTCGGCCAGGCTGGGTCGTGTCAGGAACGCCTCGTGCGTCGTTGGGGAGGGATGCTCGTATGGCGGGGTGAGACGGAGGGGTATACCACGCTCGGGGGTTCTAGATCCTGCCGGCTGAGCCTTTCCTTGCCGCACTGACCGTCCTGCCGGCGGTCCCGGGGGCGCGGATCTTGTCAGCCATCACTTGTCATATCCGCTAGGGAGGCGGCGGCGGCGGCGGCGGCGGCGCGGCTGTCATATTTCCCAGTAGCAGAAGAAGAAGCACACAGCCCGAAGCGGAAGCCTCTTGGCGCCGCGGAACCCGGAACCCAGGCTCCTGAGATGGCTGAGATGGAGGGGAGCCCACGGAGGGATCCCTCGTAAGCACCGGAGGGGTCAGCGCGCGACAGCCCTCTTTCGCAACTTGATTACCCCCCTCGTAAGGGATGACGAGAATGCCTAGCGCCTCCCATGATCGAAATCCCTTAGGATGGGGCAGCCGGGGGGAGGGGGAGAGGAGATCTAGAGAGAGACGAATCGCATCCCTATTCCCCAATTGAGATGGCCATACTCACCCACATGTGATTTCGGGTCCCGTCCGACTTCTCCGCGCTCTGGCCACCCTTTCTTCCGTCCTGGTCGGTTTGGTCGTGTGGCACCGGTGATGTAACGAATGCCACAGCCGTGTCTCTCGGCCCAAGACAGCGAGGGCCTCCAAGTCTGCAATGAGACACGCGGGGAGAGACACGGGCTCAGCAGGACCCCTGTCGCTCTTCCTCGAGCGCTGGCCACACCACCACGTCCAGGTCTCCAGGGGCCATCTAGCCTGTGCTTACGCAGGAGAGGGCTGCGTCTTGTGAACGACGGAGGAGGAGGGCCTATGCAACGCCGGTCGGCATCTGTTAGACGTCCCTGCCTACGCTATTGCGATGCTGTTGTTTTGCCTGGCAACGTTGCGTGCTGTTCTGGACCGCTTGTAGCGCACCAACCACAAGGGACCTTGAAGAAGAAACGACTAGAGAGGCAGGCTACGCAGCAGAGTTGGTACACGCATGAAGAAAGACTGGAGAGAGAGAGGGGCGGGCTTCGAGAGCACGCAAGATTAGCGCCGGCCAGTCGTCCTACGGAGTCGGCAGCGGCCTGTGCACCTAGGAGGCCCGGTTCCCTGTCGAAAGGGACGGCGGGACGGCATCTGGTCGGATGTGAGGCCGGAAGGGGGCAACTAGGTACTACGGAGAAAAAAAAGAAAACAGCATTCAGCAGGAGTCATTCTAGCCTCATCTAGTCCGGCCCAGGTTCGTAAGCAATGCTCGCCCATGCGGGTCAAGGCCAGCATTCCTGCCGTATCTCCTGCTTGGTCTGCTCCCTGGTTGATGGACTCGCAGCACTCCCGTATGCCATGCCGTTGCTCTCAGTCTGGCAGGTTCTTTTTACCCGCTTCTAGACTCCCTAGGCTGACGGAGCCAGAATAGCTGGCCCTGCTGCGACGCGGATCAACGTGACCCCTCTCTCGGCCCTAGGGAGGGTTCTCGGCCCTTTGGAGGGGGTGCGACCAGATGAGACAACCCGTGGCGGACGACCTGCCGAACCCCGGGTGAGGTTCCTACCAAAAAAGACGCGGCAATTGTCTTCATGTGCTTTTGGGGAGAGACCCTGAATGCCAAATACGCAGATCCCGACGACGGGCGGCCAAGTGCTGCGCGTGCTATTGTTGGCTCGCATGTACCCTGTTTGTTGTCTGCGGAACGACGCGCGAGGCGCATGATCAGCGGTGGTCCCCTGGATGGGCCGGCCGGTGGCGCGAGGGAGATCGTCCAAGGGGGGGAATTGGTAGTCCAGGAGACGGGCAGATCTCTCTCTCTCTCTCTCTCTCTCTCTTGGGCGAAGGCATGGCATGCGGAGGATATCAGGGTCTGGCTGGACCGGGCAGCGCCGCTTTTCTTCTCCTAATGCATCTCCGAACCCCATGCATATGGCCCCTTCTCGCCCACTGCAAAACCCTCTCACGAGGAGCCCGTGTCCCTCCGGAGCATCTTCACCTGAGCTGCGTTCGGTCCATTTGGGCGCCGGCCCCGGCGGCAGCGTGACATTCTGCAGCCCTGTTGGCCGTCACGCGGCAAAAAGGATCCTCCACCAGTCGGCACCGCTGGCTATAATGGTCGGGTAATTCACATGCCCACCCGCACCGGGGCTCGCTCGCTCGCCAACTCGGCCAGTCGCCTTCCTTTGCGACCTTTCAGGTGGGTTCGTGCTTGTTTGTTTGTTTGGCTGGCTTTACGACTGTGACCCTGACGGGTACTGGTCCTGCGCTGCCCTAGCCTCGAACAGAGAGTGGTTTGCTGCAAGAAGGGTCCTGACTTGGTCTCGGGGATGGCTACTCGAAACGCGGCCCCCCCCCCCCCCCTATGGGTCGACATGTCTGCTGGGCCGACGACGGCGAGACTGCTCAAGTTGCCCTCGGTGGGCTGGCCGACACTCTTGACAGGACCCTTTGACGATATCTCGCGCCATGATGCCGGAGTGGTGTCTACAATGTCTCGCCTTGCGAGTTGTTGCTCAATGTCTTCTCTCCCCCCTCCAACAAGGTTTTCTGCGCAGCTCGCGGAACCCACGGCCTCTTCTAAGCTGGTCGACCTACCTAGGCTAGGTAGCTGGCAAGACATGTCCAGGCTTCACGTCGAAACCCACGAGTGGCCAGATCGTATCCTGGAGTTGCAGCCATGCTCCGTTCGCCTCGACCCGATTCTCACGAACTTTGTTGCTCTGTCTGCTACAGGCAACCGACACGCCCTGTCTCGTTTTTATTTTTTATTTTTATTTTTATTTTTTACACGCTAGAGCCCCCCCCCCAATACCTCTCAACTTCACACTATGGAGTACGGACTTTTGCCGAGCACTTCTCGCTCCTTCAGCTCTTTATCCCTCGTGACAGCCCAACGACAAGGGAGCTATCGAAGCCCGAGAGGGGCCAGGAGGCCGTTCTCTTCTTCTTTTTTGCGTATTGTCCGAGCAAAGCCGAAAGAGGTGGGACCTGATCAGACCTGGTCATCACGGCAAGATCCAGTGAAAGTATCCGTACAATGTGGTTTAGATGAGCTCCCTCCCCCCCTGACGGCGGATCCCTGAAGACACAAGCGCTCCCGGCCTGCCTTTGAGAGGGCGTTCATTACGCAAACCCCCTGCGTCTTCGTGTGTTTCGGTAAGGCCTCCTCTTTGTTGCGTTTGGAGATGGCCGTGACATGCGGGGATCAAACTGGACGAACACACAATGTCCGGAAAAGAGCAGAACGGACAAACGGAAATCGACCTGGACGGTTTCTCGTCCCTGGAGGTGGACTCGGCTCCAAGGCAGCGAGGCTGGGTCTAGTCCCGGACAAGGAGAACCTTGGTCTGCTTTTGGGGCCCGCTCCGTAAGCTGCTATCACCACCGTAGTTGCACCGAGTGCCATCGTGCCTTTGTCCTAGTCTCCTCCCGTCCACAATGCCCGCCCCCTCCACCGTCCAGGCTGAGGAGGTGAGGGGGGAAGTTTGATGGAGAGAACAAAGTCACGATACGATGTTTTCCGCATCAGGAAATTCGATCGGGGGTGGCATGAGAATCCACCGTACGCGGAACCACACCAGGCCGTCGATGAACAAGGCTGCACGGCACCACATACACAAGGCCGGAATGCAGATGCCCATGTTGAGCGGGACGAGAGGGACGCCGGAATGCTATCGTGACTTTGCCGGAACGTCTTCCGTAACGGGTGGAGTCGCGCTCGCAACGCGATCAAGGAATTGGGGTTTCCATCTTCCCAGATTGACTCTTTTCCTGGTCCGCGTCAAGGTGTAGACCCGGAACTTATCTCTCGGCCGTCGTCACCCGAGTCTTGCACAACCGTTCCAAAACAGGCCATTTCGTGAGAAGAAATCAGGGCGCGCGCGCGCCTCCATTACCCATCCCCCCCCCCCCACTGCAGTCCTCCTCCATCTCGAGAGCACGACTCAGGGTCTGCCTGGCCACCGGCTCCGGTCGCTCTTCTCGTCCGATCCTGTCAGCATGGCGCCCAAGTTCCCTCCGGGTGAATGTTGTCAGAATTCTTGTTTTCTCATGCGGCCCCGATTCCCGTTTCTGGACGATGGCGAAACGAACACGGACAGAATACCGAGACCAGGTCCTCCGTCACAACCACAACCCCGACCACCCCCCCCCCCCCCCCCTTCCTTTTCGCCAAGCCCATCCCTCTCCGCATTCTGGTAAAAGGTGGGCAAAGGAAGCCTGCAGATGCCGTGCTGCTCAGCCCTGGAGAGAGGGGGGGGGGGGGGGGGAAGACCACGAGAACGTGGGCCTCCGCGAACCTTCCCCGGGATTTTTCGCCTCATGTGCCCATATTGAGCGCGGAGATAGTGGCGTCGTCGCTTCGGCCTCTGCCCTGCCATCGCCCCCCTCCCCTCTTCGCACCTTCGTTGATTGCTCGTGTGGTCCATTGGGCCAGGTTCCTGCGGCCGGCCAGCCGACAGGGCAGATGACGACGATGGGCCACGACGGGCAACGCCTTGGTCCTTGTCGCTGTTCTTCCCTGGACGGCATTGGCAGCTTTGCAAACTGCGGTGAACTTGGAGCCGTGATCCCTGACTTGGACGGGGAATATGGTGTTTGCCAAAACGGACCCTGACTGAAGGAACTAGCACCGTTTTCATCGGAAATCAGATGGGTGTGTCGATTGATGCTAAACTCCAATTATGTTTATTTTATTTTATTTTAATTTACTTTATTTCTTGCTGTACTTCGGGGTGGGTACTATTATCACGAATTCTCTGCTGAGGCTAGTTGCAGACATGATCCCGTCGTTTGCTCTCGTGACTCCCAGTAGCCTGACGGGATCGAGTCCCGTTTGCGGAACGGAAAGGGATTTGCTTGTCACCCCGCGTTTACGGTTGCGACCCCAGGTTTCCCGTGTGTTCCAACAGAAACCTCGCGGTCGATCGGCTTGCCGTGTTTTGTTTGATGGAAACGGCTCCTTGCAAGCATGGGAATACTCGATGAAAGAACAACAACACTCAAAGTCTCTCGTCTATTACACGCCGAGTGCGGGCGGGTGACATTGAGAGGGTAAACCATCCACCGCGCTTCTATACACCATTGGGTTGCCATTTGGGCTGAGCCTTCTGGTTGCTGGTCTTTGTGATGCAGATGCAGCTTCAGGCTTCGGCATCGCATCACCACAACCCACACGTCTTTTCTTTGCACTTGGCTGACTCATCGCCTGAATGCAAGACGGTGAATCCCCCCCAGATGATCCGCCCGGAATAAGCATCATCCCTCTTGCGGCGGCGCTTATCTACCTTGCCCGACGCTCTGCCTTGGACGCACATGTAGAGTACTAGTAACGTCCATAACTGCTGGTTAGTTGCGGTAGCACCTTGTGTCGAGTGACAGACACCCTGGACCGGCCTTGACCTCCGATTCCGTCGTCTATAGATTTTATTTTGGGCAGATTTGCAATATTCTCGTTCCGTTTCTTTCCACGAGACCCTTCAGCGTCCAATGCCAAGTGTCGTCACGCGCGGTGGAAGGGAAATAAGAGACAATAATCAAGAACAGCACAGCGGGAGCAGATGCAACCTCGGCCAAGTCGTAACCTTGGCTTCGGTTTTTTTTTTTGCCGTGTCTCGGTTCCGGCTGCTCGTCCATATACTTGTCCCAGCGCTGCTGACTTGCGCCACCGCGGAGTATGGGACGAGCTGCCCATCCGGACTGGGAGGATACGGGGAACCTAGAAAGGATGGCATAGGCCAAACGTCTCACACCACCAGATCAGATGTGCCTTCTTTCGGCATCTGAATAGTCCCCGTACCAACCACACCGCGCGCTTGTCTCTTCAACGGTTGCCGGCGAATGTGACTACCCAACGCCGGGAGAGGGGGGAGAAATCACCCCGCACTGGTTACCAGCGTTAGCCGCCCACCGAATTAGTCACTTGTTCCTGTCAACTCGACTAGACTAATGCTAGTCACCTTCGGCGGGTTGGCTCTGCGCTGTTACGTTGTGAGACCGCTTACTGGTCTGGGAGACAACTGAGAGGTAGAGGGAGTCATACGCATCTGCTTCTTTGGTAATACGTGAGAGATTCAGGGTCCCCCGGAGATGCGGTGAGGAGCTCAGCCAGCCCGGAGACAACGTCTGCTGCAGGGACTGCATCCCCGAGCGGCATGTGAAATCCCGCCGCCGCCGCCCCGAGCTCGAACATGAGGCCACACAATCACGCGTCGCGGTCAGGTCCAGATTCGCATCAGCTCACGGCTACCCTACGGCCTCGTTGGTGCGTCCTGGCTTTGTCGACAATGCTTGCGTGCCTCGGAATATTCTCCGCAGGTCTGCGCCAGCAAACTGCAAGAGAAGTCAGCTTCCCCCCCACGCGCCCACCCCCTCCCCAGGTGCGGCAGCGGACGTGAATGGCCCAGCTGAGTCACCAACCGTTTTGTCGTTGGCCGTGATTCGCTTTCGCTGGGCTGGCTTTTACCCCGCGGTCGGCGTGGGCGATGATAATCACGGGCTAACGGGCAGAGATTGGGGTCTTAGTGGAGGGTTGGTTGGGGGACGGGCCGCGGCCGCGGGCGATGATGAGTGACCGTCAGCACAACGTGACATTTGAACCCCCAGATTACAATACCTTGAGTGTAAGACTGGCTGTGATAGATGCGTTAGCGAAATGATGCTGCGGCTGGACTGAGGCACCTCTGTCGATGGGCATCAGGTGAGCCCGTACGTGGCGCAGCAACCGAAAGGAGTCCCGCCCTATCGAGTTGACAGCACGGCCGGCATCGCTTCACCCAAGCAGTCTGCAACGAGGCATTCCGGTGTAGATGTGAAGCGCTTGGGTCTGAGTGGGATTAGGCAGCCGACGTCAGTCAGCGGGGGGCATCGTTCGCTTGCTCTCGTCCCCCCCCAATAGGCCACACACACCAACCCTCGGCTCCTTTGGTACTCATATGCTTCTGAGTAAGATTTTCCTGACGGCAGAATGGCTGGCGTGGATTTTGCTGACCACAAGTGGTTGCGAGCCGAGATGATGCCGATCAAGATAGACGCAGCGTCATGTGTTTTACGGGGGGGGAAGGGGAGGCATACCGGTGAAGATGCAGGATGCTGACCCCGCGGCCCCGGATCGCGGTGTGGGGGGTGGTCAGACAGTAGCTGACGAGCTCGAGACAGTGAAGACCTTCCTCTGTAACGTCGGTGAGCATGAGAAAAAAGCATGGCTGCGGTGTATATCGGCTATGGAAGATGGCAGGATCCGGAAGGATCCGTGATTTGCGCGGGTGGCTGTTGATAGTAGGATCTTCACCGTAGCGGCGCTCTACGCATCAGACTATACTCGGGCTTGGGAATTCCCGCCGAGTTGCGATACATCCCAGGCTAGTCATATTTTTTTCAACATACCTGATCATTTCGGCGAGGTGATATGGAACCTGCAGCTTGTATGTGGTCGCACGTCAGCGTAGAGCACAGAGACCATTGACACCACTCTCGCTGATCACCAAAGACGTCCAGGTATCAGAAATATCAGACGGCGAGACGTCAATCCGCTTACCAGGCCGATCTTGGAGCTGAGCCATGATTCCATGCTGACAGTTGCAATGCGTTTGTTTCACAACCCCTTCGTATTATACGTCCCAGGTAGCCATATGTCATGATGTTCCTCCTTGTCAGTAGTAAGCCAAACGCTGACGCTTCAGAACCTCTCCAATAGCAACAAGTCCATCCCTCGAACTATTGCTGTCTCGGACACACAGCTTTTGGCTCCTGGCATGTAACCTTCCCACCTTCGAATGCGTGATGGCATCTCTCGGCACAACTTGCCTCTGTGGGAAGGCGGTGCTCACAGAGGCTTTATGCCGATACTTTGAAACCTTTTGAAGTTGACGCACGTGGTCTGAACCATGGAGACACTTTTGGTTGTGAATCAGTAGTGGTGGTGCGACGGCCCATGGCCCAAAGTAGCTGGGTACGTGGTCACCGAATCAAATAGAGAACTGCTTTGTATTTTGCAACGAGAGAATCGGAAAAGGTGTTTTCGATCTCAAGTATACTGTCATCGGCGTTCGTTGTGAGACTGGGTGCAAGAACACCAAGACATACGGGTGCCTGGAAGCTCCCCTGAGCGGCAAATGCACGTAACCGGCCGGATTCGAAAGAGCCCGCTGTCCATGCGTCCTTGAAAAGGGGGGGTTAGCAGCTATGGTAGTCTTATGAGGCACTGGTCCTTTGCGGAAAGGGCAATATCTCGAATACGAGACTCGGATGCAAGTTTACTCAATATGGGACACAGAGAACGAATTAGTGGCTGTAATGGATTCGGGACGGGTTCCACGATGAGGTATCCTGGCCAGCATAAAAGCTCGCCGGCTTCGATTTCCCGTCATTGAAATCCCAGGACGAATCCAAAGACCATTTCAGGGCGCACATGACTGGGTTTGGAGGTCATGTGAAAAAGCTTGTGCAATGAAGTCAGATCCGCTGTATCACACTGGCTCCAGAGACCGGTTCCAACGGCATCCCTCGCATCCTCCTTCCCGATACCTCCCAACTCTTGAAGGATCCTGGAAACGTGCGAGAGCGAGTCATAAGCCACGTTCGTGCTGTCGAATATATGGGTTGCTGGCATACGGAGCTCCGAGACGGGCCACAGGGGGGCGCAAAACGGGCAGAGAAAAGGAGTATACGAGGCCGGCGCCCCCCCAGGTGCAACGGTACAAGCCAATACCACAGGCTTAGTAGCGATCGCGCGGCCCGGCGCATGTCGCAGCCAGCCGAGGCTGCAACCCGAGCCGGGCGGGGACGCTGTGTCACGGAGGTCAGCCTCGGACCGCGTCGTTCAGCAGGGCCGGTAGTGTTGCGTGGTGATTATGCGTGCTTCACACCTGCGGCAAGACTCTGCCTCGAGGCACGGGATGGGGAGACGATCCTTGGGTTCACCCTCTCACGGCGCGCGCGGGGTGAGGGGGGGGCGCCTCCGCCAGGGTATGTGTCTCGTGGGGAAGTGAGGTGACACGAACGGCGATGCCAGGCGGCACGACTGGAGGGAAATGCGAAGGGTATCACGATGGGTCAGATCTTGTCTATTTCGGGGCACCGTTGTACATCATGAAAGCACGCGAGAGGTCACTTGGCCGTCCCGCCCCCAGATTTGTGCTACCCGGGGGGGGGGGGGGGGTGGAACGGGTGCAAGCTGGACTTTTCGCGACTGGCATGGAGAAACCGGAAAGATATCAAAGCGAAAGAGAGGGGGGCGTAAGCCGAACAAGAGGTTTCGGGCCCTGTTTGAACATCTATCAGTACTGTCCTGCTTGTTACGTGCTGCTTCGGGCTTCAGGTTAGCATTTGGCAACAAGATTCTGCTTCACGGGGTGATCCTATGTCCTCTCCAGCCGCCATTCGGCCCGGCCCTCGAGCAGACCCTGGCGTGCCAAGATTTCGCGCGCGGGATCCGACTTGGTTGGGAAATCCTTCCGCTGACGAAGTCGAAAAACGGTGGCTGCTGGTTGACCGAGGTGTCAGGGGTGTCGATCCTCGGTGAGGCGTGATGTACCGGATGACTTTTGGACATCCCTGGGCGCGGGATTGCGGGCCAGGTGCCTCTGCAGCGTTGCCAGTGAAGAGATTGTATGTTGATTATGAGAATATGTTTCATTTCCTTCCAACACTCTCGATCCTCCGTCGGAACGAGTTGGACCACGGACGATCAGGAAAGGCGACTCTAGCTTCCGTGACTGACGGAGGCCAGCCTAATTGTCTCCATACGTGCATCCTGAGACTGAAAGATCCAATAAAATAAAAAAACTGGAAATATTCTTTTTTTTGAATAAACTTCCCTGAACATGCCGTCATGACAGGGCCGAGGGGTTCCACGGGGTCACACTTTGGGAATCCTGCACCCCAGATTTGATAATGAAGGGGCCCAAGTGCTCGAACGCTGGGCATGTACTGTAAGACAGCTTCTTCTTCTTCTTCTTTTCTGTTTTTTTTTTCTTTGTTTTTTTTTCTCTCCTTTTGTGATTTTCGATGAAGAATCAATTCCTCTTCCAGGAATCGTATCAATCTTCCAGAAACTGGTGTCGTCCAGAAGCTACATTACCACACCCACTACGTGCCGTTCATACCATGCCATGCTATCTCCGCGTGCGCTGGCACACAGCAGCCACATCCATCTCGTCCCAGAAATTTGGTAGCGGGATTTCCATCTGATGACCAAAAAGAATATTTTCTCATTCCTCCCGGAGCCCTGGGGGTACTACCGGTAGGTCGACGGGGGGGCGGGTTACGGGGCAGAGCAGAACGTCCTCACCCGGCCGGCAATTACTGGCTTGGGATCTCGCGTCGTTTAGGCTAAATCCGACGGATAAACGCCGCTGCCTCATCGCCACACACACACACACACACACCAGAAGCAGCAGGGCGGATAGTGATGTGTCGCGCCGCAGGCTGGCAGGCAAAGCGTGGGGAGTCTCTCAGTTATCATAGCAGGCGAAGCGATGTACACCAGGGGCGAAGCATGCAGAAACATGCACGTCTCGTGCGCATCGCTTCGTCTGTAGTGACTTCTGCGGACTCTCCCCCTGCGTAGTCAAGAGAGGCGGTGAGAGCCTCATGACCCATAATCCTTGGCTGCAAAATCAGAAAAAAGATCGGAGGAGGTCGAAAGGGGAGAGGCCCCCTGTGTCGGCTGTCAGGAAGCGGGATTATGATCTCATAAACCAGGGGAAGTACATCCTCCGCGCGCCTTTGGAAAAAAGTGCGCCGGCAAAAATGATCGTCACCTTGCGATATAGAGGCATCGAGATCCTGAGCCAGTGACCACAGTCTGACAAGTCAGGACTGCTTGCATCGTCCGGGAGCATCTGCCGATGGCTATGTCTGTACCTGCTGCTTGGTAGCATTCAAGACAGCCACACCATCTATCTCGCGGCCTCCCCAGAGACGTGGCACGGAAGCCGTAAATCCTGGGGAGTTTCTCCTCCAAGGGGGGGTCTGGTGACGATATTCCGTGTCGGACGCCCGGGGAAAGGGCCACACACCTGCGACGTTGGATGGCTTTACGTTGCATTTAGGGAGACAAGCTAGTAGGGGTTCTGTCCGGAACGGATTGTCGGGACGGGCGATGAGACAGGTATTTGGGCGATGTGTCTTTGGCGGGAGCGCTTCTGGAAGCGGTTGGGACTGATGAGGATTCCCCTCGGCGCCGTTTCGCGACCGAGCTCGTGATGCGGTCTGTTTTCCTGCGGCAAGCAGAAACTTCCATGCCACCTTCGCCACGCTGGACGCCAGGAGCTGGTTGACATTTGATTGGAACAAGCGAGCCTCGTTCCTCGCCCAACCAACTCAGATGCTTCGCCCCTGCTGCGGAGGAGCGACGGCCATCTAGGGGTGCTATTGATGGATATTGAAGACCATTTGGATAACGGCGGTGCCAATCAGGACGCGCCTCTGTCACCAGACACCCGCGCCTCGGCCACTCATCGGTGAGTCCTGCGGAGTGACTCTGAGGTTCTCCCGCGCAGTCGATGATCCAGATCGGCGGGCTGGAATAGATTAAGATACCCCCAACATAAGGTTTCTATTGGCTCCCTGGTCACTCCGAGGGATGAGGCACAGTGATGATCTGGTATAGGGAGTTCAACACCTGACTTCTCCTGGCCGTCGTTGTCAATCTGCCACGTCAACGATCCCCGGATATGACTTGGGTCTTTTGGGCTTTTGCTCTCGTGAGCTCCGGCTGCAGAGAGATCGAGATGCCTCGTCAAAGGCATTGCGTCAGAGCCCCCCCCTTTCCTGGGCGACCCTGATTACATGGCCTGGTTTGGATGATTTCCAAGTCAGCCAGCTTCCAGAGACACGTAGCTGGGTTTTCGAATGCTCTTGCACGAGGTTCTGAACCGAGACTGAGATTGGCCAGTTTAGGGAAGGTGATCAGACAGCCGTAGTTGTTGTCGCGTGCGGTGACCCAGTCAAACACAGGCTCTGCAGTGAAGGTTTATGATCAATGATATTGCAAGCCTCTGGGGAACTTCAGGATGGACAAGATCTAACACCCTCGCTTTGTTTCTGTTTCATCCCTGTGGACAGTGAAAATGATAGTAAAGGAAACGAGGAAAGGCATTCGATAACTCAAAGCACCAGTGGACTATCCTTGAATCCCGCGTTCGTGTTCGGCACGGGTCAAACGAGCCATAGCTTAGAGAAAAGTCGGTCTACAACCTGAGTTGGTGTCCCTGCGTTCCCTTCCCGCGTCTTCGTACTTAGTTGAACACGACGAGGAGCATAAGGCGGATAAATTGGACGTCTGGATTGTTCGTGAAGTAAGGCTACTTCGTGTTCAAGAGCTGTTAGTTGAAATCCTATAAGCAATTTGGAGATTCCCCCCTTGCGGTAGCTTAATGCCGAAATGATCGTTCGTGTTATGATTGTCAAGTCGCGGTCAAGTCGTCCAGGATATCTGTGTCAGCAGTTTGGTGCAAGTCCCACAAGCTCGGCGGATAGCTAGCCGTATAAGTGAGCCCATTGAATATCGACGGACAGAGAGCAAGCGGATTTCAACTTCCGAACCATGCTCCATCTCCGTCACCACTTGTACCGCTTTTGAGAAACTCCATCCAGGCATCGTCACCCATGACGACGTCGGCGGCCTCCATCGGGGGAACATTGGGCCACATCATCGACAAGACGCTGTTGATTTGCGTCTGAGGGCTCTCATCTATCGGCTCAGGCGTCCCAATCGGGACCGTGTTGGGCTCATAGCCGGGCGTCGCTGCGGTTTGTATCTGAGGGTGTGCCACCAGCACACGAGCGGCGGCAGCGTCGTCGTTGAGGAACCTCCCGCAAAGGTCCATGATGACTTGGTAGCAACGGGGGGAGCTGGAGTTGACGGGAGCCAAAGCGATTATGCAACGGATCGTTGTTGTGACTTGCTCTCGCCAGTCTGCGGCATTGCTCGAGTTGGGATCGTTGCGTAGACAGATGCAGGGGATGAGGGCTGCTTGGAAAAGGAAGTATCTACGGTAGGGTCAGTACGTCGAGGAAGAGCTGCCTTGACGAAAGAGATGGCTTACAAAGCATACCACGCTGACAGTCTGTTTTTCTCGTTACGTTCCCAGAACCCGCTGATGCTGGCAATGGTAGCTTTCGCGTCTGCGAGACACTTTTCAAATGCCTGAACGTTGTCGGGAGAATCGTCCAATATCCTATCGCGGGCTTGGAGAGCTCGACGGATCACGAACGGCCGGTACATGATGACCCGAAGGTTTCTGCACCTCCAGTTCATGACGGCATGGGCGAGGACGTATTTCGGGGGCACAGTTGCAGTCTCGGAGAAGTAAGATGGCACGCCGGTTCGCCACGGCTCGAGAAGGTCTTGATCGAGCTTCAGCATCTCGTTTGCAGTCGGCAGCGGCTTCGAGATGACCCTTGTGTATATGGGTGTCGTGGCCATGTGAAAGCTTGCCTGCGTTCGCACGGCCGTGTAGGGGGTGATATCTTGTGTCTCGGCAGGGTACGACTTTGAGATGGCAGTCAAAGACTGCGAGAATATTAGTAGAGACATGCCATCGGGAGCTCCATATTTGGTCATGTTACCTTGTCGTCAACATTCAGAGGCAAGGATACTTCGACGCCTTCACACGGCCAAACCGAGGGGCGACTAAAGGTGATGGTTGCGCCGACGTCAAAGACGCAGAGCGACCACCACACGCGTCTCCTGATCTCCATGTTCAGTGGCGAGATATTCCACCCCTGAAACTCTTTGTGTAGACCTAAGCCCATCGCCATCCGCACGGCCAGTCCGAGATAGTTGTATCCCGAATTGGGCTTGTCTCTCTTCTGCTGATAGTTGGAGATAAGTGTGAGCGCCTGGACAAGAGTAAGATTTCCTACTTCCAGAAAGTTAAAAGACAGGATGGAACGGGCTTGGGCGAATAAGTGCATATCCATGTTATCGAGATTGGTAGCCGTGGTATAGACGCCAATGGCAGCGACAGTGTATGCCAGAATTAGCCAGCAGTCACCACACGGCCTGGGTATCACGCCCGCATACTGTGCTCGGAAAGTTGCTTCGTGAAGGATTGGGTAGCTGACATGGTATAACCGAAAATACGCGTCGACCATGGCGTCTGTGATGTGCCTGTTAAGGTCCAGTTGTGTAGTAAGAGGGGACTGTGTAAGATTGATGTGACCTGTCCTCGAGGACGAAGAATGAGCTCGACGTTTGGGGGTCGAGGGCTCGAGAAGCCTTAGCAGGGCGGCTCCAGAGGCGACACCGAGGTATCCCGATTCCTTCTCGCTGACTGCCAACGATGCCATGCCGTCCGCGATAGGATCCGCGGCGGCATCTCCGTTCCTGTCGACTTCAAGTGTTGATTCGGGTGAGGCCGAGTAGTTTGTGAGAGTATCTTGCTCGTCCCATTCGAAGTCATCGGTAGGGTGCGCTTCGAGAAGGTTAATGTCTCTGTGTGTCGCATCGTTTACTGGTTGACGATGGTGACGAGTGGTTCTGTAGGCTCGTGTATGGTCGAGATTCGAGTCCGAGTGGCTAGTTGAGGACGACAGATGACCTGGTGGAACACCCAAGGGAGTCTCAGGCAGCTGTGGCTGTCTCTCACCTCCATCCTCGATATGAGGAACGATGCCGGGCTCAGGAGGGACGGTGTCCGCATGGAAGGGCGAGTCAATCAAGGCGGGCCTATCCAACCTTGAAAAGTCAAAGGAACAATCATCCTTTGGGGCAGATGCATCCGACTTTCTTTGCCTAGTCATCGAAGATATCGGTCTGGCATGAGCCGGCATGAGAGCCCGCATATGGGTGATGAGAGCCTCCGCACGTTCCAATCTCTCCTCTACTTCGGTGAGATGTCTGCATAATGTCAGTCCTGCTGCCAACTACCACCTCTGGACTGGTCGTTCATAAGCCGTATAATAGAAAGTGCTTACTTCCTGGTCAGTGGCGTTCGGGCGTGCTTCTCGTATAAGCAGTGGCGGCGGTACTTGACGCATAGGTTGCATGTCGGAAGTGCCCGATCGCACTTGGCCTTCCGCCTCCGGCATTCCTTGCAGGCTTGATCAGCAGCAAATGCTGCGCTCGTCGAGCCCAGCCTCGTTGGCTGAGAAGCCGCCGGTGGATTGTCATCCGGGGTGCCTGATGACGGCATCCTCAGGGTCAGTTGAAACTGTCGGCTTTCTTGGGAGGGCTCCAGGGGTGGCTCGCAATGGCAGTCCGGACTCGGAAGACTGATGTCGGCCGTACAGCATAGCCTTAGCCTTCGGGGTCGGTCAGGGCGAGTGTGGTCCGTCCCGGCAGAGCGTCATGACACATCTCACATGAGAAGACGGACAGAGAGGAGCGAGATCGGGTGCGTAAGGTGAGGTGAGGTGAGATGCGGAGACGGGTGCATGCGTCTACTCCTCCACGCTCCAACTCCAAAGGAACCCCGCCTTCTTCTCCACACGCTTGTGCTGCAGCGATCCACAAGATAACCCATCGCGATCAGGGGGTTGGATGAGAAATCCCGGCAATTTGAATTCCGTCCGGTGTCATTCGGCCGTGGCAGGTTACGAAGACCGGATAGGATTGTCTTAATCCTGCTTATGTACAGAAGTGTGCTCTGGGACGAAACGAAGCTCCAGTTGGAACCCCTCTCGATCATCGATCGTGAAGGTCGCAGCTATCCTCTAATAGAATGAGGACAACGCTAGGGTTTATACAAGAACCAAGTGTCTTTTTGTGGAGGTCGTCTGGACAAGTTCAAACACGCAGCAGAGTCTTCAGGTCCAATAATCGATGTCGTCCGGTACCAGTGCATACCGGGTAGCATTTGCATCAACTTTGCAAAACCTGCACCCGGAACAATCATTCAAAGTCTCGAGCATTGCCGCCCACGATGCAGCTTCTCGACATTCTGAATGTAGTATAATTACCAGTAAATCGGCCTTCTACGCCCGTTCCCTGTGTACAACATCATGAATCCCGCCCTTGGCTAGGATCTTCTCCTCCTTCGAGTCAGAGCTGCCTTCGAAGTCTTCAACGGCCTGGGGTCCGTCAAAGATCACGGCGATCTCCTCCAAACTGTGCCCCTTCGTCTCGGGAAACAGATGCCACGTAACAGCGAAGAAGGCCACCAGTAGACAACAGAAAACGATGTAGTACCTCCATCCGATATTCTCGAGCCCGATCGGGTTGACAAACGCGGCGATAATCAACGACCCGTGGATCGCAAACAGCTCGAGCGCGATGCCCTTGGAACGCAGAGAGTACGGGAATATCTCGGTCGGATACCCCAAGAGGAGCGGGGTGTATGCGATGTCGTAGTGGAAGTAAAAGGTGAATAGACAAACCACGACTACGATACCGGCAGGCTTAGATCCGGTCTCCGTGTTCACGGCTGAACAGGCCGTCCAGACGATGTAGCTGGCCAACATACCCGCCCCGGACCACAGAAACAGGGTCCGGCGGCCAAGGCGGTCGACGAGGAACGCAGCGCCGAGGGCTGCACCAAAGTTGAAGATTTGCAGCAAGCCGTTGATCAGTGTCTGGGTAAAGGTGTCCGTGATGCCGACGGTGCTGAGGACGAGAGTCAGATAATACGACACCACGCCGATCCCGTTCCATCTGGTTATCAATGTCAGCAACTAATCTCGAACCAGGGAGGTGAGAAAAAGGGCCCTCACTGGGCGAAGGCTCCGACGCAAACAGCGATCAGCGTTCTCTTCCGATTTCCGGGAGTGGCCACAAGAGCCATCCATCCGGTTGTCTCTGCATTCTTTTCTTGTTGAATCGTCTGTACAATTTCCGCAACTTCGCGGCGGACAAGGGGCGTGTGGCCTTCCGCTGGGTCTTGCACGCCTGAGTGATACCTGGCGAGGATCGCGGCGGCTTCTGTCGTTCTTTCGCTTGCAACCAGCCATCTGGGAGATTCGGGGACCCAGGCATAGAAGCAAAGCTGAACCAGCGGGAATCCGGCTTGAAGGATGGAGGGGATCCGCCATGCCCACTCGGTCTGGTAGTCTTGGCATCCGAAAGTCGCCCAGGAGGACAGAATCGCGCCTGTCCGGGGTCAGCCTGTGCCTAGATGCACCGAGTCTTCTATTGCTAGACTTACCGAGATAATACATGGTCCAAAAAGCCGAGGTATACTTCCCGCGATGCGTCGGGTAGGCCAACTCGGCAATGAGCATTGGACTAGGGTGTACGACGAACATGCCGCCGGACCCTACGAGCAAACGCGAGACGATGAACATGGGCAAGTTGATTGAGGCGGACTGGACGATCGTAGCGATGATAATGAGGATGATGCCCGAAAGGAGGACCGGCTTTCGACCGAAGCGATCCGCCAGATACCCGACAATGGGCAGAGCCAGTACGGATCCAATGGATTGCGCAGCATTGACGACTCCAAGCTTTACTCCAGTAGGATTGCCGAAGTACTCTCGCCATTGTTGCAGTGATTGGAGGCCGTTCATCAACGATCCTGTTGTACACCAACTGTCAGCTGGTACTCTGTGAGGCGTAGCTGCAGGACCCTACCATCGTATCCTGATACTGATGAGGACAGCAGTGGGACCAAAAGCAAGAAGTTCAATCTCAGCAGATGCGGCTGCTGGAACCAGTACTTGTCCGTCTTCGGAAGCACTTCGGCCAAGGCCGCGCCGACAATTTGCTCGTCCTTCATAGTGGGTGGTCTAGATCCGAACTCGTGTACCTGGCATTGACTAATACAATGTGACTAAGATGTCGTCAAGTATCGGATATAATTGACCTCCTAGAAGCTGATAATGGCTGGTCTTTCGGAGACCCGCAGGAGGTTTATATCCATCTCGACTTCGCTGAGATCTTGTGTAATGCCACAGAGTACTAGTACGCGGAGCGATGCCTCCCAGCCAGCTAGTACTCGAAAACATCGCGCCGTCAATCCTCATTTACCCCGCGCAATGTGGAAAATGGTTGTGGGGTACAGGGGTTTTACCCATGGGGTATCCCAACGGTTGCATCATCACACAGCTGCATCGCCAGACGCGAGCCATACATTGTGCTTGGGCTTGGGGGAGGAGGCTGCGGTGTTTGTTTGGTAAGTGCGGGGACGACGGACGTCTGTCACCCTCACTGGTCTAGGCCGGGCAAACATGCCTACGTTGGCATTGTTGGTGGTTGAATGGATGCCAAGTCGATGCAAATTAGGCCCGGGAATAACACGCTGGCCAGGGTCGGCATATGGGATCTTTCGATGATCAGGTGAGGATGAGGTCGAACCGAATGAACCCTGCTAAGAATGTCCAAGAACTAATAAGACGATCTACTGATTTTGACGGTTGATCGAGATACAATGTACGCTCTCAGAGCGATCCATAACCCGCTCAAAGGGTTTTGAAGAAGCCATGTAGTGAGAGCACAAATACACAAGACACCTAACATAGACCATGGGATCTACAGTTAGATCCCTTTGAACTGACCAATACGTTGCATTTAGAGTTATATGCTACGACTACAAGTTACATATGAGCAAGAGGCTTTGGGCATAGCCTGTTGGTAGAGGAGCCCATAGGTCACGTGACCCACCTCCACCTCCTTCTCGGCCAGCCTCTGCCCACTGTGGGCAGCCCACTCCTAGTTAGCTTCACATCACAGTTATCGCCAATATCAACAGATATTGCCTCACTTTACTGCTCCCACAGGTTATAAGGCCTAGGTTAATACTAATTAATTTTCTTTATAATTAATTAATTAGCTGCCTTTACCTCTTCTTTTTTAATAGTTAACAGTAATATCTATAAAACGTTATAGTTGCTGCCTATATTACTGTTCTAACTACCTATCTACTACAGTTGTGTTGCCTTATAACAACAACAAGTAATAAACTTAAAACATTACTTTTACTTTACCTCTACCTATATCCCCTCTTACTTAGACGTCTAATAATAAGCAGTAATTTACGTAATAATTTAAATATACCTCTTATCTTATAAGGGAAATATATAAAGTTTAATATATTATTAGGCTACTTATAGTCTAAGGAAGACTCTTATCTATATTATATATTATATTATTCTTTTTTATATTAGTAATTAACTACTATTATAGCTAATAAAGTTAACTACTAAATAGTTATATAGTTTATCCTTAAGTTAAAGAAGAAGTTAAACTAGTTATAATAGTAAATCCTAGTTAATATATTACTTTATACTACTAAAGTTAAAAAATATATTAATTATAAAGTCCTTTAACTAGTAATTAACACTAATAAGTATAAGAATTAGGAAAATAAATATAATACTGCCTATAGTATTATTATTAGTACTTATAACTTTATAATTATTAAACTCCTTAATATAGGCTAAGTTAATAATAGTAACCTATATACTTTTATAAAAATACTTAAAAAGTTTATCCTTAAGGTATCTAAAGATACTATTACTACCTTAATTAATAAGTTTAGTAAAAGAGGTACCTAAGACTATAAAACCTTTTATAATACCTTTATAAAGGTTTAATACTTCTAAAGCTATATTACTAGCCTCTATAGTAAAAACTCTAACTACTATTAGGCTATTCTTATACTTAACTACTTTAAGGTATAACTACTAGATACTTATAAGTACTATACTAATAATAATAAGACACTTACCTAGGCAAAAGTTATTAAAACTATTTATACTTTTACTTAGGATAAGAAATAGAAAATAGAACTTATTATATACTATAAAAACACTACTAATTTAATAATAACCTCTTCTAGTATTAACTAAGGTACTACTTCTACTAAGAATATTACTTATAGTAGTTTTTACTTTTATTATAAAAAAAACTACCTTATTATAAAGTATTAAACTATTTACCTAGAGCTAGTTTTTACTAATTATTCTTATTATAATACCCTTTTTACTTATATAACTAAGTATATCTATAATAAGAATTATAAAAAAGAATTATTTAACTTATTATTAACCTTTATTTTTATTAAGGGAGCCTTAGGTACTTTTAGTAGCTTCTTTATTACTAGCCTAGCTATAAAGCCTAGCTATATAGTATATATAGCTATTAATAATAAGGTTATTACTATTTTTAATATTATACTAGATTTAGGCTACTTTAACTTTATATTTAACTTATTAACTTACTTTATATTCTATATAGTCTATAGTAACCTTTAACCTTTTACTATAGTAAATAGTAATTAAGTGTATCTAAAGGGCAGTAGTACTATTTTCTTCTAGACAAAGGATCTAGCTAACCTAACTTAGACTATTAACTAGACTATTAAAGATATTAAGTATAGCCCTCTTAGCCTAGCTAACCTCTTTAGCCTAGGTAAGTTATATAAAATAAGTATTAAATATAACTATACTACTACTTATATTATTAACACTAAATCTAAGGCCTATTTAGCTACTATTAAATAGATCTCTAATATCTATATTCTTTATATAACTAATAGCCTAACTATACCTATAGTAACTACCTTTAGCTTAGCTATAGTTAAAGGTAAGTACTAAATAACCCTTAAGATAATATATTATTAACTTATTTATACTTATTTATTATAGGTTATTAAGGCCTACTATTAAGTAAGTATATAATTTATATAGGTAAAGATTAATAACTTTTACTATAAAGTTTACTACTTAGCTAAATCTATAAAGCTTATTAGCTATAATACTCTATTACCTTTTACTTTTATAAGTAAAAAAATCTATCTAGACCTTATTAAGGTTAAACCTTTTTTTAAACTTAGTATATAATATACTTTTTACTTTCTTAACTATTATAGTAGTTATTACTAGCTTACTTTATTAAAAGCCTATTATTATAAGGTTATTCTTAATACTATTAAGAAGTTTAGTACTATATTTACTAATATAATAGGTCTCTTAATTAAAGGTTAAATATATAATAATATACCTAAGCTTAAGAAAGTACTCTATAACTTTTTCTTTAAAGGTACTTAACTTTACTTAACTACTACCTATACTTTATTAATAAATAGTATAATTAAATATACTAGCTATACCTTTATAAAGGCTACTTACACTCTACTTATTAATAATAGCCTACTAGAGGATCTCTAGGACTATACGCTTAATACTATAGTGTAGATCTTTAACCTTCTACTATAGTTAACTAAGGGTAAAATAAGCCTTTATAAGATTATTACTTATAAGCTTAACCTTACTATTAACTAAGAACCTTCTTAAATTAAACACTTTTATTATTACAGGACAAGTGCCTTATATAGTAGATAAACAGGTAGAATATAGAATTACCCTATTAGCATATATCTAGGTATATACCTAGGGGTATATATCCTATTACCTATTTCCTCCTATAAGGAAGAGTAACTTTAATAAATAACCTACACTAATACCTAGCTTTTGTCTTATTAAGAAAGGGCAGGGCATCTAGGCCACCTAACAAAGGAAAAGAGGAATAGCAAAACATAGAAAAACCACCTACACTATAACAACGTCTAATAATAATAATATATATATTAATTAATAGGTCTTATAATTCTTAGACCTAATCTATAAAAATACTAAAATAAAAGTATAATTTAATAAAGTAATTATAAAAAGAGTAAATTTCCCTAAATAAATAAAAGTATAGTAATAACTAGTAGTGTATTTCTATATAAAGTATTAAGGCTAATAATAATAACTATATATAAGTAATTATATTCTCCCTAATCTTTTCTTAGGTTTATAAATCCCTTTTTTAATAGGTAGGTAGCCTTCCTATTGTTTTATCCTTTGTATTAACTACTATATAACTCTTAGGACTATACTACTTAACCCTATTATAATTATCCCCTTAGACCTATTGCTTTAACCTTAAGCAAAAGGTCTAACTAATTCTTAGACCTAAGAACTAAAGAAAAAACCTAAAGAAACAAAAGAAAGAAAAAAGAGAAATAGTTTAGTGCTTATAGTAGTATTTAAGTTACTTTAGTAGCTTAGGACTTTTCCTTGCTTTTACCTTTATAATAATATTACTATATCTAAGTTTATAACCTCTTATGCTACAAGAGGTCTATAAAGTCTTTTTATTAACTTAGTCCTATTTAAGTCCTTAATACAAGTAGAACTAACCTTCTTAGGAAGGTAAATAAGAGAAGCTATAATAATATATATAGTTAAAGGTATTAGCTTTAGTCTATTTTTATTAGTTAATACACTAGTCTATAAAGGATTCTTAAGAGTAATAGCGTATATCTAGGTTACCTTATAAAGCTAAATATAGTAGATAACAAAGGATAGTTAGGCTTTTATTAACTTTAAGGTTTTATACTTAAGCCTTAAGATCTTTATTATTTAGAAGACTAGGTAGTATATCTAATAATAGAGAATCCTCTTTATTATTCCTAGTTTAGGTCTATAAATTATTAACTAGACTTACTTAACTTATTTATACTACTATAGGCGCTATTAAGAAGAAAAGGTTCTTATAAAAGTTATCCTTTAAGTATATAATAATATATAGAGGAAGGTTCTTATATATATTATTATACTTATAAAAGTCTCTTAAAATAATAGATATAACTTATAAGGTAATAAAGACCTATCTAGGTTTTATATAGTTCTTGTTAAATTAACCTATCTTTAAGAACTTAAGAGACAGTACACCTAGGTAAAGAAAAGTTCTAGTCTACTTTACTGCCTAGAGACTATAAGTAAAGCTATTATCTTATTACTATATATTAACTATATATATACTTAATCTAATAATACTAAG